GAGTAGCTGAAGTGAATGAAAGAAATTATGATGTAAAATTGCTGAACAGATTTTAAAGTGCAACTCGAGAAAGCAAAGTAAAATATTCTAATATTACAAAGACCTGTAGTTAGAAGACCAAAGGGAAGAACATGCTCAACATTTCTCAAGCTGAAGAAAAATTCAAACCCCAAGTTGAAATATTGAAAGATTTTATGGGCAATATATTAAATTATGCAAAAATTATAAAGAGATTAAAGGAGTACAAAGAGTCACTGTACTAAGTAAAATTGATTGACATTGAACCATTTCAAGAAGTAGCATATGATCAAAAATTGATGATACTGAAGGAAAAAGTCCAATCTGCACTGAAGGCATTGGTGAGAAGCAAGACTCCAGGAATCAATGGAATATCAATTGAAATGTTTTAACAAACTGATACAGCACTGGCGGTGCTCACTGTTCTGTGCCAATAAATTTGCAAGAGATCCATATTTATGCCCATTCCAAAGAAAGGTGATCCAAAGGAATGCGGAAATCATAGCACAATATCATTAATATCATATGCAAGTAATATTTTGCTGAAGATGACTGAAAAATAAGTATAGCACTACATCAACAAGGAACTGCCAGAAATTGAAGTTGGATTCAGAAGAGGGTGTGCAACAAGGGTTATCAATTGCTGACGTAATATGCATCTTGGATAAAAGTAGAAAATACCAGGAAGATGTTTACTTGTGTTTTATTGACTATGCAAATACATTCAACTGTATGAATCATAACAAACTATGTAAAACATTACGAAGAATGGAAATTCCAGAACACTTAATTGTGCTCATGCAGAACAGATATAACAAACAAGAGGCAATAAATTATACAGACCAAGGGAATACTGAATAGTTTTAAATCAGGAAAGATGTGTGTCAGGGTTGTATCCTGTCACCATTCTTATTCAATCTGTATGCTGAACAAATAATATGTGAAATAGACTATATGATGAAGAATGCATCAGGATTGGAAGAGGACTTGTTAACAACCTGCACTATGCAGATGACACAACCTTGCTTACAGAAAGAGTAGAGTATTTGAAGCATTTGCTGATGTAGATTGCACCTCAATATAAAGAAAACAAAATTCTTCAAAACTGGACCAAAATAAGACATCTTGATAAACAGAAAAAATATTGACATTTTCAATTATTTCATTTTATTTGGCCCCACAATCAACTTCTAGGGAAACAGCAGTTAAGAAATCAAGTTATGCATTGCATTGGGCAAATCTGCTACAAAAGACCTTTTTAAAGTATTAAAAAACAAAGATGTCACATTGAGGACTAAAGTATGCCTGACCCAAGCACGGTATTTTCAATAATTTCATGTGCATGTGAAAACTAAGCAATGAATAAGGAAGACTAAAGAAGAATTTAAGGAGCTTTGGTAGTATAGTTGTTACAAGTTAGGCTGCTAGCCTCAGTGTCAGCAGTTCAAAACTACCAGCTGTTCCTCCAGAGAAAGATGAGGCTTTTTGCTCCTATAAAGATTTACAGCCTTGGAAACCCTATACCCAGTTACTATGAGTCAGCATCAACTCCACCACCAGTCAGCATATCACCACCACCAGAGAAGAAGTTATGTCTTTGTATTATGGTGTTGATGAAGAATATTGAATATATCATGCACTGTTAGAAGAACAAATCTGTCTTGGAAGAAGTACAGCCAGTATGCTTCTTAGAAGTTAGAATGGAAAGACTTAATCTCATGTATATAGGACATGTTATCAGGAAGAATCAGTTCTTGAAGAAGGACATCATGCTTTTTAAAATAGAGGGTCCCTGAAACATAGGAAAACCTTAACAAGATGACTGACACAGTGGCTGCAACAACGTGCCCAAACAGCAATGATTGTGAAGACTGTGCAGAATGGGATGCCGTTTTGCAGTTTTACACAGGGTCACTATGAGTTGGAACCAACTTGATGGCACTAACTGCAACAATAACATAGTTGTTTATGTTCTATATCACTGCCATAGAGTAAGTCCTAAATTATAATGATAAAACACATTCACTTAAAATGTAAAAGGCCCCTATTTAAGCATTTTATTTTCTAGAAATCCAATTTCTAGAAAATAAAATTTTTTCCTAAAAACCTGTTAAACATAAAATACAAAACTTTGTATGCATGACTGCTATTCAAATTTCATACTAAATTTTAAAACTTTAGACATATTAAGATATTTAATTAAGACTTTAATTAGATTCCTTACTATGTCTAAAGTTTTAAAATCTAATTAAAGTCTTAATTAAATATATTTAAAGATTAATTAAACCTAATTAAAGATTGGTAATATGGCAGCATCAATGGGCTCAAGCATGGCAACAATTGTGAGGTTGGCCCAGGACTAGACAGTGTTTTGTTCTGTTGTACATAAGGTCACTATGAGTCGGTACCGACCCGATGGCACCTAACAACAACAATAATTAAAGTCTAACTATAAAATAAAAAGGTAATTTAAGAATGTGTAGTTACGTGGAAAGTGTGGATAAGTGCTCGACTGCAAGGTCAGTTTCAACCACAAGGTCGACAGTTCAAACTTACCAGCAGCTCCTAGGAAACCTCAAGGGTCGTTATGAGTCAGAACTGACTGCAAAGCACTTAACAACAACAAGTACAAATCAAACATGTGGATCTGCATTACTAGATTAAGAAGCCCTGGTGGTGTAGTGGGTTACACATTGGGTTGCCAATCACAAGGTCAAATTCACCAACCTCTCCATGGGTGAAAGAGGAGGTTTTCTGCTCCTGAAAAATTCTTTAGATATTCACCACTTATTTGTCAGTTTGTCATGCTGTGGTAATTTGCTTGTTGCTGTGATGCTGAAAGCTTAAGTCACCAGCATTTCAAATACCAGCAGTTATCACCCATGGTAGAAAGGCCTCATTGGTGCTTCCAGACTGAGCAGACTAGGAAGAAGAACCTGGTGATCTAATTCCAAAGTAACTGGTCATTGAAAGCCTTATAAATAATAATGGAACATTGTTAGATCTAGCACCATAATATGATCCCCTCAAATTGAAAGGTACTCAAAATATGACTGAGAAAAAACTGTCCCCATAATGTAGAGTTGATCTTAATGATGTGGATAGAGAATTTCAGGTGTTTCACGTGTTGATCTAGCATGGCTCAAAATGAGAAGAAATAGCTGAATTATCCATTAATAATTTGAATGTGGAATCCATGAAGTAGAAAAGTAGAAAAATTATAAGTCATCAAAAATGAAATGGAACACATAAAAATCAATATCCTGGGCAGTATAATTTCTCATTCAATTGTTTAAGCAGATTGGCAAGTATAATGGGATGAATTGTGTCCCCCCACCCCCATCCCAAAACATGTGTTTCCTTGGCTGGTTCGTGACCCTCAGCAGTTTAGCAGTTATGTAATGATACAATCATCTCTCAAGATGTGATCTGATATGATCACCCAATGAGTTCTAAGAGAATTCGATTGTGATGTAACCCCTTAGAATGTAATATAACCTGATCAGATGTAAAGATGTAGCCTGCTTCATCTTTTATCTTACAAGAGATAAAAGTAGAGAGAAGCAAACAGACAAATTGGGAACTGACTGTCACCAAGGAAAATGAGCCAGATCAGAGCATGTCCTTTGGCTTCATGGTACCTGTGCTCAGAACCTCCTAGACCCAGAGAAAGATTGATGCCAAGGCGCATGTAGATCTCCAAGGAATTCCAGAGAAAAGAACCTTCCCCCAGAATGAACAGAGAAAGTCTTCCCCTCGATCTGGTGCCATGAATTCAAACTTTCAGCCTCCTAAATTTTAAAGAAATCCATTTCTCTTTATTAAAGCTATGCACTTGTGATATTTCTGTTATGGCAGCACTAGATAATTAATATACCAAATAAATTGAGTCCCCATGAAACAATGAAGTGGCATTGTTTTTAAGTTTTAAATGTACAAATAAACTGAGTCTTGTGTAAGTGGTAACTTCTATTACTGTGCCAAACATCTTTGAGTTTTCAGCAGTTTACTTTTGATCAAATCCAGCACAGCATTGCTATGCAGAATGGGAAAGTGGATGGAAGCAACTTGGAAAGTGGGTCACAGCAAGCCCCACTGACTCCACCCAACACTCCGGATCCACGAAGCCCCCCAAATCCAGAGAACATTGCACCAGGTAACTAATATGCTTACAAATGAATCAGTAATATTGCTATGTACCTAAAGAAGCCTGTATTAAATTGACACAGCTGTACTCATTATTAAGCTGTTAAGTGCCGTCGAGTCGGCTCTGACTCATAGCGACCCTGTACAGGGTTTCTGAGGCTGTAAATCTTTACGGGAGTAAAAAGCCTCATCTTTCTCCCACGGAGCGACTGGTAGTTTCGAACTGCTGACCTTAAGGTTCGCAGCCCGATTCGTAACCACTACACTACCTGTACTCATTAAATGTCTGTTATTTTCACT